TGAAAAATATATATTTTTTTTTTCCTTCCTATCCGAATTGTCTGTGGTGTGTATATGTCACCACGAAATGTATCTTTATGTATTAGACATCCGTCGACTTTCTTTCTCTCCTCTTTTTAAATCCACCCCACCCACATCTCCAAAAATTCTCTCTGTCACTCATCCTCATACTTACACTTTCTCTATATTCTGTTTTGATTTCCGGAGTTGTTTTTTTCGGTTTTCATTTTGAATTTGTAGGTCTGATGATTTGGATCGTATTTACGATTCCAATGGAATAAATTATGACCATGGAATATCAGTGTTTAAGCCTTTTTATTATATATATATATATATATATATATATATTACATGAATCATTCATACAAAAAATAGATTAGTGAAGTTAATGATATAATCTGTTTTTTATATGAATGATTCATGTAATATAAATTGAACTGCACCACATATTTGATATATATATATATATATATATACACACACACACACACACACACACAAGTATAGGATTGGTGTATATGGAATAAATTCCAATAACCAAAAAATACTATTTTTAAAAGAGTGCTCAATACAGAGTAGAGTAAATATAATTCATTTGAAAATTATAATGTAAATATGTTATAAAATCACTACAAATATAGCCATTTAGTTTCAACACTTCTGGTGTCTTATAAAGTGATGGTGTTGAATGTAGAATAAAGTGTTTATTCTATGAATTTTTGAATAAATTATATATAAACCATTGGCACAGAATCTATGATATAGGGCCCCCCTCCATTCTACTATATGTTAGTTTTCATAAGGTAGTCTTCATATAAAATACAAACTTTATTGTAACTTAATTATGTACAATAATCGATCATTTGCAATATAAGTGAACAATTCAACTGGAAAAATTGAAAATAAATACAATGTATCTAAATGCAAATTAGAGACATGCCATAATAGATCATTCCATCTTAAATAAATCAATAATATTTTGTGGTAATTTTTAACATCAACTAAAGATTTCTCTTGTTAAAAAGTTGAATTTTTTAACATTATGGATAAAAAACTAATGAATTTTATAGTGTTTTTTGAGACTTAGTATGTGCAAAACAAATTCACAGATTTGGACAAAAACAAAGATTCCAGAATGATGTCAGAATCCACAAAATCTTTTCATTTTTTAGTCGTCAGTTGTGCATACATTAAATTGTAACATATATAAATGCACCTTTAGGAGGTGCAGTCAGGCTTGCATTGGGAGGTTTGGGGCTAGTATACATCAGTTCTAGCCATTGGCTTCTTTGAGAAGCTCATCTGCTCTGTAACAGGCCTTATTTTTCAATCTGTAGGGTGACATACCATGCTTACATGCCATACTAGTAGAAAAGCTAGTGGATGGTTAAGATGCTAACCACCTGTCCAATTCTTTGACAGTTACTTGGATCGGCAATCACCTGATGAAGGCTGGAGAGTGCAACATCCAAAACATTGTGATAATAAAAACAGAGATCAGGACAATAATCTGAGTGTAAATAATATACACAATTGTGCAAATTAATTGAAACAACTGCTTTCTAATACCATACTGTTAGTTTTAGACCCACTGGAATGACAATTGTAATCGATTTCTCTTTTTTCCTCAGATTAGGTCATTTGCAGTGGTGTGCAGTCATATGAATCTATTTTCAGGTTATATGAGGAAATTTGTTTGGCCTTGAAAAATATTGCATAATTCGTGACTGCATCAGATTTTTATCATGCTCCAACACTATTGTCTTGACTGTTGATTAGTTGTCCTAGAGCCATTATCTGTGATGGATGTTACTCCAAGGAAGTGTACAAAAATTGTAATGCTGCATGAAAACGATGGCAAGTCTTACCAGTGAGAAAATCAAAGTACTATAGACTAGCCTGGAAACTGTCCTGATTTAAATCCAATTGAGAATCTGTGGTCAGTCTGCAAGGAATGACTTTGGGGAATGGACATACGAAGTACTAACACATGCACTGGGTCATGTTTCATTGGAAAAATATGAAAAAAGAGTAAATAATTACGGAATTATTTGTTTTGTTTCAATTTGCACAAGGGTGTAAATAATTTTGATTTTTTATTATTAACCTTGGCAATTTTGGCATTAAACTGTTAAGTGTTGTTTTTAAAATGCATTTTTATAAGTATTGCTAGATGATCTGACAGTCAGAAATTCATTGTAACTATTCTTATGTCAGAGATAGATTAATCATATGAAATGGAGTATACCTGTAAATTAAGATTTCTTTTATTTATTTTTTTTTACTTTCATCTCTATTCCTATCTTAATAGTTAAAGAATGTCACTTATTAACTACTTCAGTTGCATTTTCATTCTCCTCTCTTTTGAAATTGTTCTTGACCACTATCATGAATAATTATGGTTATATTCTCATGTTGGCCAATATCATCTCCACTGGATTCTCATAACTTTAGCCATGTGCCAAACTATATTCTATGACAATTCTAATTTGTTTAGTCAAATGAATAAATGTTTAGCTCTGTATCTTTCTATGTATCGCTATTCATTTTCTCAGTTTTTTTATATCTTTTTATATAATTAATACAAATATAAAATTCATCACTCAGCTGATTTATGTTATATTCAGTACCCCAACTCCAGAGTTTTGTAGATGAACATTTTTGTAATTGTTCTGTCCACTTGTCAGGAAATTTCAGCAATTGATTGCAGATTTTCTCTTTTTCATTATTTTTATTACTAAGTTAAAAAATAATTTATGTACTTTTTTTATTTGTGCTAGGTTGATTTTTTTTTTCTCTCTTTGTGTTTGCATGAGCATATGTGCATATGTCATGGTTATTTCGCATTTTTATTATATTCATATCCTTATCTGTGTCTTCATAACTTTACATGTTGAACCTGATATATAACTTCATATCTTTATATGTATTTTTATCCGTATATGTTCATGTTTAGCTACATCTTTTTTTTTTTTAATCACTTCCCCACAAAAAAGGTGATAATGCCACTAGGACATAGTGGGTTATAGGGAGTGAAAGAGAATGAGAAGAGACTATAGCAAGCAGACTGAAAGAGAATGAGAAGACTATTAGAAGTAGACTGAAAGAGAATGAGAAGACTATAGCAAGTAGACTGAAAGAGAATGAGAAGACTATAGCAAGTAGAGTGAAAGAGAATGAGATGACTATAGCAAGTAGAGTGAAAGAGAATGAGATGACTATAGCAAGTAGAAGTGAGGAAAAGAACAATAAAGGAACATGATTCAGGAATACAGAAGAATGTGATTGATGTTGGATTTACATTTTTGAACATTGTAGGTGGCAAGAAATCTGAAGGGAGTTCCACAGGCAAGAAAAGAGACAATTAGCTGTTCATCTTTATCTAAAAACTACTTTAATGCTATACTTCTAACATCTCTGCTTAAAACTCTGAACTTTTATTTACTTAAATTTTCTTTTCTTAAAGAGGAGTAGATTGGTTTGCGTATAATCTGGTTCACAATTCTCCCCACTTTCTTGAACAGGAGTAGAGGTTTATCTTTTGTTTCCTGTTCAGAATTGGAGAATTGGTTTTCTGGTACCTCTCAAGTTTTTTCCTTCTCTTTCACTTCCGGTGGCCCATTACATCTTGACAGCATTATCACATTGCTTCTGGGTTGTGTCTTTTACTCTGTAACCCTCTACCTTGAGAGGCTATTGTGCCTTAAACAGGGTGAACATCATTGTAATATATATATATATATATATACATACTATATATATATATATATATATACATACTATATATATACATACATACATACTATATATATATATATATATATATATATATACATACATATATATATATATATATATATATATATATATATACATACATATATATATATATATATATATATATATATATATATACTATATATATATATATATATATATATATACATACATATATATATATATATATATATACATACATATATATATATATATACATACATACATACATACTATATATATATATATATATATATACATGCTATATATATATATATATATATATTTCATATTTTTCCCTATATCTGACTGTATCTTTATATCTATGAGTGTCCATATCTTGATATATATTTCTGACTGCCCATCTTGATCAATATCTGTGACTTTTCTTATCTTTATTTGTATCCATTTTTCATATCTTTCTGTACATTTTAAAATCTTTTCATATCTGTCTTAGATTCATATCAGTGTATCTTTGCCTGTTCAGATCTGTCAATCTATGTTAATCTGTGTCAGTATCCCTTTTTCAATCTATTAATAATCTCAATCTTTTCATTATCTGAGCCATATCATATATGTAATTTTTTTCCTATCTGAATCCTTTGTGAATATATCTGTCTCAGTCTGTTCATCTCTAACTACATTGACCACATCAAACCACATCTCTAAACTGTTTATTTATTCATGATTTTTTCTTTTTTTATTTCTAATTTTTTTTTATTGTTTTTTTTTGTCACTTAAGCATAATGAAAAGAAAAAAAACAGGAAAATCTCACTGCTACTCAGCCCACTTTCTGTTCCCTTACTCCCCTTTCATCTCCCCCGCCACAACATCACACTGTGATCTTTCATCTCAATTCTCCATGTTCACTGTCAATTGCCACAATGTTCAATGCTTGTCAGTTGAAAGAGCTAAATGAGGGTAGTATGCTTCAGACAGCAAAGGGAGTGAAAGATTTCAACAATCACGATGGAAGACCTGTGATTAAAGACTCTGGTTGGCTGGCACCTCATCTGTGAAACCTACTCTTTCAATTAATTAGTCTTTAAATCATGGCCTCCTTCCACCTTCAGTATCATCTACCTTCACCACCATCCATCTTTTCCTTCATTTGCTTCTTATGCAGATACATATTAGACTTTCTCCAAGGGTGGGATGGGGTTGTGTTGGGGTCCATCCCTGCACCTTCTGGCAATGACTTTATCCCCCCACCTCAACTCTTATGCTCCCCCCCTTAGCTCCCTGTTTATTCTCTACCATTTTTTAAAATTTTTGGTTGCTTTCTATTCTAAATTTCTGTCTAGGTCTTGTTTTGTCTTTCTCTTCTGCTCAGTCCTTCTCTTGTTCACTTTCTCTCTCCAATTATTTTCTTTTATACTTTCATTCTCTCTTACTCTTCTTTACTACACCTGATTTTCTCTTCCATTTGCTATCCTTTTTGTCATTGCTCTCCAGTCCTTCATCCTCCTTTTTTCACTTACTCACTTTTTACACTTATCTTTCTTTAATGAATTCTATTCTTACTTTCTTTTTATTTATTGCTCTCCATTTTTATTTCTCCGCTCTCTTTTCATTTTTTTCTTTTTCTCATTGCTTTTCTTTTTATTCTTGCTCTTCCCTTTTCTCGTTACTCTCCATTTTCATCCTTTCTTTTTGCATTTCTTTTTTCCTCTTTGTTTTCATATTTAACTTTACTTGCTTTCCTTTCACTCCTTTATCTTTTTCCCCCCATTCTGTTCTTTCTTATATCTTGCTCTGCATTGTCCTCTTTTTTTTTTTTTGAGATATATACCTACTCTTCTTTTTATTCCTTGGTCGCTCTTTTCATATTCTTGATTCTTTGTTTTCTTCACTCCATTTGTCCTTTTTTCCTTCTTCTCATTTTCCTCTGCTTCTTTATCTTCTCTTCCTATTTCTCTTACTGCCCTTTCTTCATTTTTGCTCTTCTTTTTTTTTCTACTGGCATTCCCTTTCCCTAATACTTCTTTCCCTTCATCCGTTCATCTTCTATTTAATCTTTCTTTCTCTTTTGTTTTCCATTGTCTTCTTTTTTAATTTTTGTTCATCTTTATACTATCATTTTTCATTTCTACTCTTCCTTTATCTCATTGCTCTCCATTTGATCCTTACTCTTCTCTTCTCTCATTTTATCCATACTTTCCTTATCTTTTATTGTTTCCTTTGCTTTTCTTTATTTGCCACTTCTCTTTTTCCATCCTTGCTCTACTTTTTATTATTTCTTATATTCCTCTCTTTTCTTTTTGTCCTCCTCTCACTCAATTTATGCTCATTCTCCCCTTCTTCTTTCTTCCCACTTACCTTTCCCTTGTTGGATTATCACTCAAGTTAATTTTTACATCTCTTATTCCAAAGGAAATTGTTTCAGGAAATCGAATGATGCCTCTGAGTGCATCTTACGTCTTGAAAATGATTCTTACCGTCTTGCATGTGTTCATTTTTATGCCTGTGGTTTTGCTCTTAGTGAGCGCACATGTGTGTGGCGGCTGTTAAGAGGTAAGGTGGAAAGGCTGGGTTTGTGATAGGGGTGGGATTAAAGGATGTGGGGTTGGCGATGACAGGTAGTGGCATGACAGGGTAAGGGAGGTGGGTGCCCTTGAAAGAACCGAAAAGAAGCCAACAAAAAGGCTACTGGCTAATCATTTAATAATTCAACTATTCTACTATTTATTGTTATTGTCATTAATCCATTTCTCTTCTGTTTTTTTTTTTGTTTTTTTTTTCCCCAAATCTTTTAATAAAAATTGTGCTCTAAGGAGTGATAGAGTGTAGAGAAAGCCTCATGAAGGTGGAGTTGTGGTCCATTTTAGTAAGGTGAGGAGATAAAAGAATCTTTTTGGGTTCAAGTGATTTTTAGATACTATCTGAACTCTCATTTTGTTCGAGGTTATCTTTAAAAAGTTTTCTACTGTCCGTTTTTATAAATATTGCTGTGCATTATTTTGTTCTTTTAGATTCTCCGCTTACAGTGTATTAAGTCTTTTATCTTGTGAAATTGCTGTGCTTAAATTCTGATGTACTTGATAAAATTAATGCTGCCAATTTTTGCTAGAGATCAAGTGACAACAAGTATTAAGATCTGCAGCATTTTAATATTATCATCATATGAAATTCTTCAAATCTGTGATAACTGGTAACTCTCTGAAAGTCAAGTAATAGCAAGTTTTCTCAATACACTAGGACTTTGCAAAATATTATTATTGAGTAAAGTTGTGCAACTTTGTTATTTTTTACAGAGAAATTAAACACTCTTGCTTTAATATATATTGCCTTTGTATAATTTATTATTATTTTGTACTTGTTGAGTTTTTAAAACCAGTAGTTAAATGTGCAAGCAGTGTTATGCAATGAATAATAGAATGGAATGAGTAATCAGAGAGCCAAGTTTATATTCCAGTTGAGTTAGTTCCATTCACTTGCACCCATATACCCTTGGGAAAGGTATGACTTCATCTTCCCCCAGCTATGGATTAAATAGTAATACTTCTTCCTGGGAAAATCATTATTTTTAAAAAATTGCTAATGCAATAGTCACTCACTAAAAAAAAAAATTTAAATCTAAAATATGTCTTGATTTTAATTAAAACCCAAATGGTCGATAAACCATAAAAAGCAGTAAAATGTTTATACCAGTAATACTGCTGGTTTTCACTAGAGATCAAGTGGCAACAAGTCTTAAAATTTACAGCATTCTCTTTAATATTATTATTATTATTATTATATGAAATTCTTCAAAACAGTCATAACTGGTAACTCTTTGAAAGTCAAGTGACAGCAAGTTTTTTCAATACACTAGGACTTTGCTCAGTATTGTAATTAACTGAATTTTCAGTACTTTATTATTCTATTATTATTAACTAAATTTTTCTGCATGCAGTATCCAATAGTTTTTGTTAGATATCAAATGACAGTCTTTTCATTACTCCAGCACTCTCCCCAGTATTCTGTTATTGATCAAATCATATAAACTCAAACATATGGCACCTTTAGCAGAATATTTGCAGAGAAACCCAATGCAAACTTTAGAAGCAATAGGATACTAGGCTTTATTCTGACTTTCTTAACATAGGTCTTTAGGTGTCTGTGGTATAGATCCCAACACTCCAATAATAACTGGGACAATAGTGGCCTGAATATCCCATATTCTGGCAACCTCAGTCCATAGTCGGTGTACTTCTTAAGCTTGACAATTTCTTGGACTATGATATTATGGACATCAGGGGCAGCTATATCAATGAGGAGGCATTTTCTTTTCTTTTTTTTTTTTCAACCATGGTGATGTCAGGTTTTGTGGCCTCAAGAATGCGGTCTGTTTGGATGCTGAAATTCCACATGATCTTTATTTGGTCATTTTCAATCACCTCCTCTGGCTTGTAGCGGCAACATTTCTCCTCGACTTGAAGTCTATACTCCCTCCATAGGCATCAATGCAGATGAAAAGCCACTTTATCATGGTGGCGCATGTATTCTCTTTGTGCAAACATTCCACAGGTGTTAATGATATGGTTGAAATTTTCCACCCCCCGCCACACACACCTTACCACACAGTTTTCTCCATATTATTATTATTACTATCATCTGAATTTTCAAGTTTGTATCAACGAGTGTCTTTTGCAAGAGATCTTGTGATGTTAAATCTGAATATTTCTGCATTTTTTCAATTTTGAATTATTACTATGAATTTCTATACAAGATTTTTTTTTTTTACTGGAGGTTAACTGAAAGTAGAGTATGATGGAGTTTTTTTTATTACTAAAGTTCATCCAATACAAGGCTCAAGAGTCACTTCTGGTAGAGAGTTACCAAATGAGGTTGCTGATATGAATAAAACAGAAGTTGGAAGGTAGTGAATATTAGAATGATAGATAATGATTGATCCTTGACTTGAAGAGGTTAAGATTGTAGCATTCCAGGAAGCAACCACAAAGGAGCAGTTCTTGGGAAAAACTGTCTGAATGGAACTTCCTCCTTACAATTGGAATACAGAAGAAACAAGGGTTATTTGACTCCGTGGACGTAGCATGGCATGTTCTAACTGTAAAGGTCTGAACTGGCAGAATTTAAAAGTGGAACTCATCTGAACATTTACTATTGAAACAGGGATATATTTGGTTATTTAATAAAGTCTTGCTTATTTAATAATGTTGTTAATCAGATTGTTTCAGTTCTTTCTCAGATTTCTAATTCTTCAAACTTCTTTTCAAGGGTCATCACTACTTTCAAAGTACACCAGTAATGATGGGTACATTGATCACCACCTTCAAGTTTCAAAATCTTTTCAATTTTTTTTGTTTTTTTTTAACTAATGGTTACCTATACAAGGCCTAAGTGCCACTCAAGGTAGAAAGAGCAGCAAAGGGAAAGAGTGAAAGGGAAAGCAAGCAAGTTAGGTTAAATATGAAAACAAAGAGGAAAAAGAAATTCAGAAAGAGATACAGATAAAATGAGGGGGATTTAACTCTGTGGACATAGCATGGGATGTCCGAGATATAAATGTATAAGCTGGCAGAACTAAAAAATTAAACCCATCTGAATATTTGATATGGAAACAGGGATATAGTAGCTATTTTAATAAAGTCTTGTTTATTTAATAATGTTGTTAAGTTTTCAGTTCTTCCCACCTCCTTTCATTGGTCATTGCTATTTTCAAGGTGGACCAATAATGATGGGGACATTCATCACCACCACTTTCATGTTTCAAAATCTCTTCAAATGTTTTTTTTTTTTTTACTCTAATGGTCAACCTATACAAGGTCCAAGAGTTACTGAAGGTAGAGGGCTACTGAAGGAGGTTATTGTGTGAGCAGAAATTTTTTTTTTTTTTTTATAGCTTTTTCACTTTCTCCAATTTTATTTTGCAGAGAGTAGCATCAAACATCTGATAAATTTTCTCATTCTTCATAATGACCAAATCCTGTCCCCTGGCCTGGATTAGGTGATCCTTTTGTAAAACTTAACTTTTCTTGTTCTCCAAAAACATTTTTTCTAACCAGTCATCCACATTTTAAACTCTTTTTCAAATTGCTGTATTCACTTATATGATTAACAATTTGGTCTCTGTCTATGTACAACATAGATACAGTCAAATTCCAGTGATGTTCTTGGGAAATATCTGTCTATATTTCTGAGATAAGGTGTCGTAATTATTTACATTATTTAAACTTTATTGCAAGATAAAAGCCTTCAGGTGATTGGAATTTCAAACTGAACTTGTAGATTCTTCTAGTTACACGTATACCACTTCCAGATGTCTCAGTTATTTGTTCACTACTGCAGTAGCCAGGTATTGAACTTGCAACTCTTTGGGTCAAGGCACTGGCTTCGACCATCACTTTTATTCATTGGAGTACATTAGTGTATGAATTTTGGGGACTTACAAAACATTAATGTCCCAGTATCATTTTTTTTTTTTTTTTTTTTACCAAAGCTCATATTGCAGTTTTGTTGTTGTTATTGCTTTGCTCTTGCACTCTGTATTACTGGTTCTGATATTGTATTCATTTCTATGCTTGGCTGGCTTAGGAGATTTTTGTGGCTTAGCATATTCCTTAAGTTTTCAAAAGAGGCATGACATGTGGAACTAGAAAAATCTACCCTAGTGGCTGAAATAAAGTGTTCAGTGCAACATTTCAATCACTTGAAGAAGGCTGGAGCGTGCAATGACCAAAACATAGTGAATATACCAGTCCAAATAATGTAAATAGGAATGAATTCATTTCTTCTCCCTGCCAAACTATAGGTTAAACAACAGGGCAAACTGGACCCTCTAGTAAGAATTGGCAATTTGTCTATGAGGAGAACTCTTAATTCAAAACTAGTTAAGCATGGGGTGACTCAACCTAATTTCTAGTTGAACTACCTCTAGTGTGGCTTGACTGTGAACTTGTGCTCCACATGGAGTCCCTATATACAAGTAGAAGCCATTTACATGTGAAATGGTTCTGCTGTATCTTCTCCATCTTAATCTTCATGTCATTCATTTGTTTACATTTATTCTTTATTACTGTGATTGTGATTCTGTTTCATTCTTGAAGTGTCCTCTGCAAAGCCCTCCTTGTATCATTTTGTCTTTGCCTTAAATTTCCATGCAATTGTTTTATGTTAGTGTTAAAATTTTGCATTCATCATTACTATTATTATTATTATGAAATTAATTTATTATATTTGGTGGCTTGAGTAAGGGATCAGGTGAAAGCAGCTTTTCAGAAAATATTCACTTCAGTATTATTTTATACATTTATATATTCATACTAGAGACATCTGGTGGTTATCACTTGAGATCAAGTGACAACAGGTTTCTCTGTTGTCTATTGGACAGTTCATAATGTAGTTATCTTACTGGTTATGCTCTACAGATTAATCAAATTTTCATATTTTTCCATTTCCTTTTTTCTTTTCTTTTTCCTGTCTCCTTTCTTTATTTACACATTGTCATTTTTTTATTTTCTTTACTTGTCTATTTTACTGTTTCTTTTCTTTTACATGTCTCCTTTCTTTACATGTCTGCTTTACTGTTTCTTTTCTTTTACATGTCTCCTTTCTTTTATTCTCTTTACATGTCTGCTTTACTGTTTCTTTTCTTTTACATGTCTCCTTTCTTTTATTCTCTTTACATGTCTGCTTTACTGTTTCTATTCTTTTACATGTCTCTTTTCTTTTACTCTCTTTACTTGTCTCCTTTCTCTTAACATGTTTCCTTTCTTTTATTCTCTTTGTCTCCTTTCTCTTCATATGTTTCCTTTCTCTTATTTTCTTTACATGTCTCCTTTCTTTTATTCTCTTTACTTGTCTCCTTTCTTTTATTCTCTTTACATGTCTCCTTTCTCTTATTCTCTTTACATGTCTCCTTTCTCTTATTCTCTTTACATGTCTGCTTTACTGTTTCTATTCTTTTACATGTCTCCTTTCTTTTATCCTCTTTACTTGTCTCCTTTCTTTTATCCTCTTTACTTGTCTCCTTTCTTTTATCCTCTTTACTTGTCTCCTTTCTTTCATTCTCTTTATTTGTCTCCTTTCTCTTATTCTCTTTACATGTCTCCTTTCTCTTATTCTCTTTACATGTCTCCTTTCTCTTATTCTCTTTACATGTCTCCTTTCTCTTATTCTCTTTACATGTCTGCTTTACTGTCTCTTTTCTTTCCTTTCCTTTCTTTTTATTATCCTTGCTCTTCTCTTCTCTTTGCTTTCTTTCCTTTTATTATTCTTGGGTCTCTCCTTTCCTCCTTCTAATTTGCTTTGTATATCTATAGTCTATTGTTATCTTGTGTATTTCCTAATAATACTGTTTATATTTTTAATTTGTCCTATTTGTGGTAGATATTGGTTATTGGCAGAAAAAGCTTGACAGTAGGTCTCCTCAAATCTTCAACACTCTATTATTTCCCCAGCATTAAAATCTAGTCCTTTAAATATTATGGGCACTACCATTATTTTTAAGATAGTTTTTTTCAGTTCTCCAGCAAGGTCTTGATATTTTTTTTTTCATTCTCTACTTTCACCTACTTGCTTACTAAGACAAACATCTACTATTTTGCAGATATTGTTTTATGTCTTTGTATGTTCATACCAGGTGCCTGGTGGTTCCAAGTGGGGAGTGTGTGGCTGCAAATCCCTTCAATCTTCCAGGATCCTTCCCAGTATCGTTGCAAACTGCTGTGATTTGGATAATTTAAATTGTTCCTTGAATTTCCGAGGTCTACAATCTCACCTCTAATGATTTTGGCATAGGCCTAAATGCAATTATTATTATTAGTATTTTTAAACAGAAAAGGTAAACAAAAATGAAAGAAAAAATGGGCAAGGAAAAAAGGAGTACAGAATTAAGAAAATGAAGAAGAAAGATAAGAAAAGAAATGAAGATAAAAGAAAGAAATAAAAATGGAAGGATATGGAAAAGGTAAGAGAGAAGATAAAAATGAAAGAAAGGAAAAAAAAAGATGCAGAAACAAATGAAAGATGAAAAAAAAAGAAATGAAAAAAAGCAAACAGAAAAAGAAACAGAAAAAGACCAAGATGATAAAGAAATGGAAAAAGAAAGGTATGGAAAAGAAAGAGAAGAAAAGTAAAAAGAGAATAGATTAAGAAAGAAATGAAAAAAGAAAGTGTAGATAAAGAAATGGAAAAAGAAAGAAAGAGTGGATAAAGAAATGGAAAAAGTAAGAAATAAAGAAAGAGTAGGTGAAGAAAGAAATGGAAAAGATAGAGTATATAAGGAAATAAATGGAAAAAGAAAGAAATAAAGAAAAAGTAGAAAAAGAAAGAGTAGATAAAGAAAGAAATGAAAAAATAGAAAAGATGACATACAAAAATAAAAAAGGATAAAAGATAAAAATTAGATAAAGAAATGGAAAGAGAGAGAGGATAAAGAAAGAAATGGAAGATGAAAAAAGGAAAAAAAGTAAAGAAAAAGATAGCTATGAGGAAGACAAAAAAGAGAATCAAATGTGGTTATAAAAAGGAAGAAGTGAAAAACATTGATACTTTTAGTGAAAGAATCAAGTGAAAGAAGAGAAATGTAACCAGAAATATGCATGGCAAAAGGTGCTTAAAAGATGATGATAAGAACAAATAAAGCATAAAACTTAACAAAAATAACAAACAAAAAAACTTTCTTTTTCTTCCATTTTGGCTTTCAATCTTCTGTCATGTAATATATGACAGGTTTGAACTGGAGGGTCTTGCTTAGCCTTCTAATCATTGGTAACATCTTCATTCTTTTGCTCACCCCTGGAAGGCCAGCGCTTAGCAAAGAGGAAAGAAAACGAAAAAGAAAGCCCACAAAAGAGAAGCTAAACAGATCAAAGTATGTCATAGTCAGTAGCGTGGTTTTTAAAATGAAAAACGAACAGCGAACTGGTGCCTCCCTCTGTTGCCAGCACAGGAGAGCTAAGAGTTAAAGCGAGAGATTAAGAGAAAGAGAGAGTGGAAAAAAAAAAAAAAAAATGGCTGAGATAAAGGGAGGCAACCAAGTGCTGTCTGCTTTGAGGCACAGTTGACCTATGTTACTTCATTTAATGATATCCTCTTACCATCTGGTTCTAGCCACTTTCGCGTAATCATTTCTTGTGGGAGCAATGGTAACACTGACCTATTGCACTTGCAGCAATTATAGGGGAAGAGGAGGATGGATGGATGGATGAATAGAAAGGGGGAAGGATGGATGTAGGTGATGGAAAGGGGTAGGAGGAGGAAGCTATTGTTATAACCCTCCCCCTCCCCAAGCAGTCTGTTACCCTCCCTTACAACCCTTGTTGCTCTTCTCACACCTCCTCCTCCATGCTTCCTTCACACATGCACACATACGCTAATAAGAGACTTCTCACCCAATGACATCCTTACAATACTATGACTGCTATTACAATCATCAAAACCATGATACTCAACCCCCACCCCCACCACCCCGCTATTAAGTTTCCCAATACCTTGTCAGCACTGACTCCTACCCCGAACATCATTTTCATTTTTCTGGGTAAGAAATGCAAGGACATTCAAACTCAAACAGTGGAATTTATCCTCTCATTAAAAATCTTTGTTTTGTATAGTTCTATATGAAAGTGCTTCTACCGTCATCAAGGCTTATGCCCACACTGGTTCCTCCATACGATCATTAAAGTTAAGCAACATTAAGCCTGGTGACTACTGCTTGGGAGTACCAGGTGCTGTTAGCTTGGATGTGCAGGTGGTATAATGGATAATGGCTCGGAATTGTTAATCAGAGCTGAGTTTCAATTCCAGTTGGGTTTGTTATATTCACTTACATGCTTGGGAAATGTATGAATCCATCTCTTCTACCTGCAGATATGGGTTAATTAGCAAGACTTGTATCACTAATTAATTATTATCTTCCAAAAGAATTCTTACAATCTAAAAAAATAATTTCTGGCTTTAAATAACATGCAAAGTGTTGATAAAAACACAAGTCAGTACCGTTTCTTCTTGACTTGACTCCATAAGCACCAGTGCAGATGAGAGGCAACTTTACCATAGTGGCTATCATCTTCATCTATTATGCACACATGAGTTTATAATAATGATATACAGAGACATGTTAAAACAAGAAAAAAATAACAAAAAGGAGTAATAACAAAAACAAATTTACATTACCATAAAGTGGTAATATCGAAATACCAAATGCAAACAACAGAAAAGCAGCTTAACCAGTTTTTTGTCCCTCTCTCATTGGTGCTCTTTGTCTTAGAACCACTGAAGAAGGCTAACTTGGTATTTCATTTGAAGTTATTGCAATCTATTTAGATTAAGTACTACCAGCCATCTCTCTCTGTAAGCAGGAGGAGTGGTTGTTAGTCTTAACAGCAATTAACCTTTAATTGTTAAATATTTATTGTATATCTGGTTTTCGGTGTTTATTTTAGTCACTGTGCACATTTCTCATCCTTTATTGAATGTTGTTTAAGATGCTTTTGCTTGTTATGTTGTTTTGTATTTTGATATTACACATTTAATAATGTAATTACACCATTAAATACCAAATAGAAAATGTTGTTAATCTGCTAAAATATACATACATACAGATATATATATGTAGGAATGGTGGTGTAAGGGATAGTGACTTGAATTCAGGAATCAGAGTCGAGTTTGTTATCTTAATTTATATGCAAATACACTAAATGAATCCATCTCTTCTCCTTTGCGTAGTTTATTAAAAAAATATCAAAACAAACTGTGTCCTATAGCCTTACATCATAAAATGGTTTAATTGTTCAATATAATTTCCTTCAAATCCTGAGGAATTTTTATTTGGGGACCCAATGATTTAGGAATAATGTGTTTAATATTCATGTATCTTGTCCAAATATTTCTTTAAATGGTTCAAATTTTAAATTTTGTGCTATAATCATATCATATGTGCATTTTAGTCTGGTTAAAATTTCAACAACTGAGTCAACTTAATTGTTGTTGGTTGAAAAAAAAATACAGGCAGGTCCACCTCTATATTATTTAATGATTTTTTCAAATATTTTTTTAATTTTATTTCTTATGATGAATTTTTTTTTGCTTGATTTCAGTTTTACATTATAAAATGTAATAATTGTAATTTTACTATAATAATATATTTTTTATATTTTTTCAGTGTTGCATTGACTGTTATTTTGCATCACTGAATGTCCATTGTCATTAATTTATTATAAAAATGCAACAATTGAATTTTTTTTGGTTGGTGATATATTTGAAAATAGATGGGAAAACCAGGCATCAATCTGCATTTCAAAATGAACCTGTGGCAATTATAAATAATCTCCAGGTGAGAAGGAGATGACTTTGAAATCATCATTTCCAAATGATTTTTCATACCTTGTCTGGATGGAACTGAACTTGCATCATACCAAAGACAAGTTTTGAACCTCAAACATGTTTATGAAATTGTTTCCTCAACATGCAATAATGATTTGAAAAAAAAAAAAAAAAAAAGACCTATTTTATAGACATTATTTATTGCATTGTAAAATGGCCAACTTTCAAATTGAGTGCAATACAATTCAAAATCCTTTCTGTATTCATGCATCTCTTGAGGAAGTCTGCATATTTTTGTGATGAATTCATTATTCTTTTTTTTTTTTGGCAAATTTGTATCAGGTCAAAATCTAAACTTCAATAATACAATAATGATTTCAAAAATAGACAGAAAAAAAAAAAAAATTTATTTTGATAGACTTTAGAAAAACCAAAAAAAAAACAGGAACTCAATTCACCTCTAAAAGCTTAAAAAAACCTGAAAGAATTCACCAGATGATATGAACCTCTTAAGCACTGTTCTATTTTTAGACATTAGTAACCTCATATACTCTCCAAATGGGCAAACTTTCACCATTTTATATTTTAATTTCCTCCCCAACCTTGAAAAAAGAGCACTTTAATGCAATTCCTCCAATGTCAAATTCTCATGAGGTCAAAACACCATGTTGTAACTGCATATTTCATAGGTTCAATTTCTAATAAAAACAAAATTCATAGGTTTGGGTTATAATGCTGAGAAAACAGTCAATGAGGATTCATTTTAAAATATTCTACTCCAATCTAATGGTAATTCGAAAATACACTGCAACTGGTAAAAAAGTGACATAATCATTCCCCAAGTTAAAACTTTGAATTTTCAACAATTTTTCTCAGACTCAAAATGTGAGCCAACAAAAACACATTGAGGATTTTTTTTGACCTGAATGATCAATGGGAAGAAAACTATATCTGGAAACAGGAAAGAGAAAACATTAGTAATAATTTCAGAACCTAGTTCATCCGGGATTAAAAATTTTTCCCAAACACATTAATGCCTTGAGATCAAAGCTAACTGACATATGAGTTTTTGAGATATGATTATTTTGGGGTTTTGCAATTGTGATACAAAAAGTTTCAAAACTCCTTTTAATATCAAAAGCAAGGATTTGAGGCATGTTTCACCAAATTAGTACACATATTCACTTTCCAAAAAAGGAGTTCTATTGTGTTGCATTGTGTCTTTTTGTCTCCCAGGCAGTTATTGACACTAATGGTGATTTTATTGAATAAATTTACTCTTCAGTATTTCAAATATTTTTGTTTAATTTTGGTAAATATATCTGTTAAAATAAAATGTCATGTTATTTTCATTTCTGAATAATTTTAGATGACATTTTATTCATCTACATCTGATGCAAATCCAAAAAAAAAATGTAAATTAGTTAATAGGTAATGGATAAATTATTGCTCCAGGAAGTAAAAAATGTTTAAATTTTGTAAAGTTAATTTATTGATATTTAAATATAGGCTAGTAGATTTGAACTTTTAAAAAAATCCTTCCATAGTTGGGCTATGAGTTTCATAATTCTCACTTTCATAGGATTTAGTAAAATTTTGACATTTCTTACCAAAAATTTATTTTTTTCCCTTATTTTATTGTTTGTAAATTCTTTTTTTCTTGTTTATTTACATGTTTTTGATCCATAAAATCCTGTTAAAAAATATTTTTTTATGAGTTTTTAGGAAAATAACATTTTAAGGTTGAATCAACATTTTTCATCTATATTCCAAATTTTTTCAGAAAATTTTCAAGACAATTTTCTTATCTAATTTTAAAATTTGAAATTTATTGGAACAGATATCCTGCATGAAATCTTCCATGGAAAACACAATATTTTATTCTTCAAAAACTATATATCAATCATTATTTATCCTCATAATCTTCAAATTCAGGTTTTTCACATTGAAACATATTGAAATATATGGTTATTTTAATGATGAAATAGTGATTTGAGGTATAGGAAATGTAATTTTGGATGTATGGTTGTTGTAATGGAACAATGCATTGGAATTCATAATCAAGAGAGCTTTACTATTTTTGAGTTCATAGATGCTTATGTTCATTTATTGATGGCTGGATACTTTTTTTTCAGTCATTAATCTACCTCTTCACCATTAGGTTATGGGTTAATCATTAAAATTTGTATCACTATATTCATTTTTTTTCAAAAATTTTACTTCATGACTCATCAAAATATTTTCAGGTTTTTTATAACCTGCAAAGTTTTGAAAAAATAT